TAACACCTGGTTTTATGTTCACTAGTTATAAATTGCTTTATCTCTTCAAACTGGTGGGCAGATACTGGTTCCTCCTGGCATCCCAGCAGCATTGCCCTTGAACAGACAAGGAAAGGACATAAACAACGCTGCGAGGAGCTGAGTTGGCTGCCCACCCTGCAACGCAGAGGCTGAGCCTCTCTGCCTTTGATTCCCATTGGGAGCGCACGTGCCAGTCCCATACCCTGCCAGGAAGCAGCTCGGGGCGATGTGGGGGTTTGGGTTTTCCTTGCGGCGGTCTGACCGTCCCTCCTTGCCCCCGCAGACAGCATGGGTACCTCTACGTACCGCCCGCCCGCCCGCACGATGGAAGTCGTCATAAACAAGTACGTGGTGAAGCTCAAGTACTGCTACACCTGCAAAATGTTCCGCCCTCCGCGCACCTCTCACTGCAGCGTCTGCGACAACTGCGTCGGTAAGGCCCCAAGTGGAACCTCGGAGAGGCTGGGGGTGGGTGTTTTATGTTGCTGGACAGGTTGCTTTTGCGTCTTGTAAAGGGTTGTGAGTCCATGGGAATGCTCCGAGGGCTGGAACCCCTCTGCCATGGGGACAGGGTGGGGGAGTTGGGGGGTTCAGCCTGGAGAAGGGAAGCTCCGGGGAGACCTTAGAGCCCCTTCCAGTGCCTGGGGGGCTACAAGGAAGCTGGGGGGGACTTTTCTCAAGGGCAGGGAGTGCCATGACAAGGGGTTAACCAGAAAGAGGGAGATGGAGATGGGACATCAGGAAGGAATTCTTCCTGGAGAGGGTGGGGAGGCCCTGGGACAGGTTGCCCAGAGAAGCTGTGGATGCCCCATCCCTGGAAGTGTCCAAGGCCAGGCTGGATGAGGCTTGGAGCAACCTGGGCTAGTGGAAGGTGTCCCTGCCTAAGGCAGGGGGGTTGGAACTGGATGGGCTTTAAGGTCCCTTCCAACCCAAACCATTCCATGATTCTGTGATTACAAAGTGAGATACTGGGTGGTCTTTCTTCCCCCGCACTGAAAACAAAAGCAACGCTAGTGCCGTGGCTCAGGGCAAGAGCACAGCACATCCAAGACTCCGTGTCTTGTCTTTCCCGGGTTCTGGGAGGACAATGCTGGGAAATTCACTTAAGGCCTCCACCAAACACGAGGTTTGCTGCAGACTTTGTTGTCTGTGCCGGGCTGGTAGACCCACCGCCATGGATGCTGGCTGAGCTTTCCTGTGTGCTCTCCCTGAGCCGTCTGACTGTGGTGGGGCAGGAGGGAATGAAGAGAGACCCGAAGAAAAGCCTCTGATGGCTCCCCACAGGCGTGGGGCAGCTGCAGGGTGGGAGGGGGTGGGCAGGGAGGTTCCCAGCACAGCCTGGCTGCACCGGAGCAACTTGAACTGGCAGCAGGGTGGCATGTGATTTAGGAACATGCCCGGAGAGTTTACTCCTGCAGCTGCTCCTGGTTGGCTTTGTGCTGTCTCCCAGGGCAGCCTGCGGAGCGACAGAAGGACCCCCAAGGCTCTGGTTAAGAGAAACTAGGGTGCTGCCAAGCAATCTGCGTTTGGGGATAGCCGTGGGTGGCCCTGACGCCTCCTTGCTGGCACGGTTCGCTGGAAAGCAGCCGTGGCTGGGGCAACGTTGGCAGAGGAGCTGTCTGGGGGCGTGGGGGGAGTGGGCATGGGCCCACTTTGTGTGTGGTGGGTTTTGCATGCGCTGCCATCCCCTGCGGAATGCTCGCCGCGGTCCTGTTAGTCTGAAAGGCAACCCCTTCGTTCCGAGGCAGTCGGGAGCGTTTCCAGAGGGACTGCACCTGGGTTCCCAGGCACATTCTGTGCTTTTAGAGGCCTATCTTTATACCTTTGGAAATTATTTTCCACCCTGAAGAAGGCGATGGAGGGGAAGCTGACACGCAGAACGGGAGCAGCGATGCTGCGTGCATGCGCCCGGGGCTGCTCGGTGCCGGAACAACGGCCGCGCTTTCCCTGCTCTCTTTGGGTTTTACTGTTGGTAAATGCTACCGGTTTTACTATTGGTAAATGCTACCAGTCACGAGGCTCCTGTTTCTGCGGGGTTTGGAGGATAAAAATAAAAGGGCAGGCGGCAGGGCTCTGTGGAAACTTCTTCCTAACGTGCTGCTGCGGAGAGGTTCTGGTCTTGGGGTGGTGGGTGGAAGCTCGATTTGTAGCCCCTGGTTTTCGGGGGCAGAGCAGATTTCGCTCTGTCACGGGGTGCGAGGCAGCAGGAACCCTCACCGTGTCCCTTCGTTTCAGAGAGGTTCGATCACCACTGCCCCTGGGTGGGCAACTGCGTGGGGAAACGCAACTATCGCTACTTCTATGCCTTCATCCTCTCCCTCTCCTTCCTGACAGCCTTCATCTTCGCTTGCGTCGTCACCCACCTCACGCTGCGTAAGTACGGCGGGTAGCAGCAGCGCCGCGCGCGGGCT